GTGGGAGTTGCCCGGGCAGAAAGATACGCGAAATGAGACTGCGAGACGGGAAGCTTGTATAAGCCGCCTGACGTGAACCCTTTAAGCAGAACCGCCTTGGTGATTGTATCCTTCACAACAAAACAGTTTTTGTGAAATTCAACAAACACGTTATTATCATTTGTAAGGCGATAAACAGACAATAAAGGTACAGATAATTGTGGGACGTGTAAAACATTTGACAGACGCAACATTTTTGACACAGATGGGATATTAGCATGGCCAACGCGTGAAATTATCAAACCTGTCCCATTACCCACACGGAGCACATCACCCCCGGTGTACTCGTCGGACTGAGACATCATGGATGCATCCGGTGTTGCGTGGGCCGTTGCTCCCGTGTCGGGAAACCAGCCAGGTGCCGAGGACGCCGCGGCCGAGTCTTCGCCGGAAACCACCATGTGGGCCTGTGGTTGCGGCTGTGGCGCATAGCGCTTGTAGCAATAGAGGGCAGTATGCCCTTGCACGCGGCAGATCTGGCAGCGCGGCGCTCCGCCACGGCCACCGCGGTTGCGTCCCTGTCCTCCTCGGCCCCTGCTGGAATTATGGCGGCCACCATTCCCGGAACCACCTCGCCCGGACTCACCGCCACCTCGACGGCCTCGCCCGGCAAACATAACAGCCGGCGCAGGCACCATACCGGAATCAGAACCAGCCGGAAACTCGTCTGCGTAGATGAATTCCTGCGCTCGCAGGTAATCCGCAATTTGCGGAATGGTGACGGGCGTTCCTGCCGCGGTGAGGGAGGATGCCATGGCGCGGTACTCTGGACGCAGGCCACGAAAAACGAACAGATTTTGTTCGTCTAGGGAGATGGGGCGGCCGGCATGGGCAAGATCTTCCACCAAGAGTTGGGCGCGGCCTAAATATTCGGCGGCAGTGCTATTCCCCTGCCGGAGGGAGTGGAATTGGCCCAGCAGGCTGAGGCACCGTGCGCGTGTCGAACTCCCGAGGGCGGCTCCGATGGAATCCCAGACGGCGCGAGACGTGGTCTTCCCAACGGCCAAGTGCATGACCTCATCGGAGAGCGATGAAATCAACAGAGAGAGGAGAGATTGGTCTTGCTTGACCCACGCACGGTAGGCGGGGTTCGGGACCGGCGCGGCCGTGGTGGCATCGGACGTCGACTCGCCGGTGGCCGGAGCAGCTGGGATGGTTGGCGGTGGGCAAGGTGTCTCGCCGTCGACGTAGCCGAGAAGCTCTTGACCACGGAGGAAGGGCACCAATTGCGTTCGCCAGAAAAGAAAATTACGATATGTCAATTTTATTGACACAAAGTGATGCGCGCTTGAGAGGGAATTTGCGGTGGGGTTTGGGAGGGTGAGGTCGCCGGCGGTGACCGTTCTTTCAGATGAACCAGTCGACATAATTAATTGGCCGGCGAACAGTTTTGGGGTGGAGAAAAAACGATCGAGCGCGATCGATGAATGTGAAGAGGAGAGAGAAACAATCCTGCTCTGATACCAGATGAGATAAGGATCAACGTTTCTGTTCCAATACAATAGTGATTACAGAACTAATCACCTAATATACATTAACGTAAACTAATCCTATTAACTAGGAAAGCCATAAATAACCAGTCAGACATAAGGACTAGTCAAACTAAATAACAAATAATAACATAAAATAATAACATTACTAACATGCATGTCCTCTTCACCCCCCTCGCCCTCCAGATTGTAGTGATTGTAAATAAATACAAAGACAACACATTTTAAACCTGAAAGAACACTCGTCATCCTCAGCTGCAAGCTCGTCATGCTGCAACCAAACATCATTCAAGGCTGAGAAAGTTGAGCATCCGACATCCCAAATAACACCTACGGCTGCCAGGAATCTATCATATACAGCAAGCTTAGAGACCACGAGCCTACATGCATCCACACTCCTTGCTCATGTCCAAATCGAGCTTGTAAGCTCAGTTGCAAGCTCATCAAACATCATCCAAGGCTTAGAGTTGAGCATTGTGGCAGGCTGGCAGCATGTCGGATGATGCCGGAACTAGAAGAAATGTCTTCAAAGTACTAGAAAAGATGCACTGAATGTTATTGGTGTTGTTTCAATGTGTATTTACGTTTACAAATACTAATGTATTAGAGTGTAAATTATTATTTTTATTAATATAGAAACCAACGCTCATTGTGTTCCAATATCACGCATTTTATATTGATATGTCGCGCATGTTACATTCAAAGCATGTATGTGTCATTTTATATGCAAATTATTTCATAATCAAACAAACGCACTTTAAGTTTTGCAATCGCGCATACTAGACTAATTTTCAACGCAATGACTGAATAATTACGTTTTTATACATAAACCAACGCACATTAATGCAGAAGTCTTTGATTAAACCAACACACATTACGTTTTTATACATAAACAAGCTCTCATGTCTGTCTCTGTTGTTGTTATTACTAATATATTATAATTAAAGTAATGGATGAGCCCACTGGTGAAATGGTAGAAGTCTTTGATTAAACTGATTCCGCCCAGGATTAAACCCTTATAAATATTTGAACTTTTTATTATATTTTACTTGTTTTTGGTTTAATAAAATATAATAAACGCATATTAGACTGATATTTCGAGCACTTTAATTGGTTTCCCGACGCACATTAAACTTTTGGCTCTAAGTCGGTGAGTGTACAATCTCATGCACACTTAGACTGATATTTCGAGCACTTTAATTGGTTTCCCGACACACATTAAACTTTTGGCTCTAAGTCGGTGAGTGTACAATCTCATGCACACTAAGAATGATAGATACACATAATAAAGTGTTAACATGCGTAGGTTAATGAATATATTGAAGCATTTTCGTTTAAAAATCTTCCCACGCACATTCAAATATTGATATACGCATTTTGAATTATATTTGATGCACATGTTAGGTTTTACGTATATTCACACGCATGTCAAGTGTAAATATAACGCATATTAGAATGATAAGGTCAGTTAGATATGCACCTGTTATTGGAAATAAGTGACAAGTCAATTTTGATGTCAGCAGTTTTTATATTTCCCATATTGGGTCTAAGTCACTGAGTGTACAATCTCATGCACACGAAGAATGAAAGACACGCATAATAACGTCTTTAAGGTGCGCATATTAGTGAATAAATTGACGCATATTCGTTTAAGAATAACCCATCGAACATTTTCATATTAACAGTCGCATTCTGGTAGACTAAAAGTTGTCACCTACGAACAGTCGCATTCGTTTAAGAATTTGGTATTTAAATCCACCATTATGCTCGACTCAAACCTGTCACCTTCAAACACATTTTTGCTTTTGTACTCTACCTTGTACAGAGTGTTTCAATGGTAGCCGAACTCCACTCCGAAATAGTTGGAAACCAACTTCGCATAGCACTGCGCTGGAATACCATGAGGGTTCGAGTGCTTCGAGTCATTCGTTTGCCTGAAACAAAAGGTTCTGAAAGAATCAGATCTATAGAGTGTGTACTTCACGATGTAGAGGTATTATTTTTTTTTAGTGTAATATAAATCTTAATATTTTATATTTATAAAATTTACTGTTGATGCATATGTTTTTTTTTAAAATAATTTCAGGGGACTTTTATTCATATGCACATTCCACAGTTGTTTGTGCAAAGGTGCCTCAACAGATTTGTGGAAGGAAAAGCTTATCTACTAAATAGATTTGGCATGGCCTATAATACCTATCGAAACAAGACATCTACTCTCTGGTATATGCTGATGTTCTGTGAGAGAACTGGTGCACTATTATTGAAAGAAGATGCTGAGTTCCCAACATATGCTTATGACCGAGAAGATTATAATTTCGATCAAGAGGTGATCTACTGCATACTTACATTGTTTTTCCTTTTTTTTTTATATAATTTTATTGATGTATTTACAGTTTAGTAATTTTCACGATTTGATGGATGAACATGTGCCTGACGCTCCTGTTGGAAACTTGGCTAATCAGGATTTAATCAATGAGGAGGCTGCGTAATAAGGATGAATAACGACGAAAATATCAAGATTTTTATGCGTATTATGTCACTATTTGTTGTTATTTTCGTCATACAATTTATGAATGAATAAAATTTATATGTTATCATTTTATGTCTATTATGTTATCATTGACACATATTCTTTCAAACTGATTCTGCTCAGGATCGAACCCCCATAAAGACTTGATCTTTTTATTATATTTTACTTGATTTTTTTTAAATAAAATATAATAAACGCGTCTTAGAATGATATTTCGCGCACTTTAATTGGTTTCCCGACGCACATTAAACTTTTGTATTTATTAATAAAATATAATAAACGCATCTTATAATGATATTTCGCGCACTTTAATTGGTTTCCCGACGCACATTAAACTTTTGGATTTATTAATAATATATAATAATCGCATATTAGACTTATATTTCGCGCACTTTAATTGGTTTCACGACGCACATTAAACTTTTGGCTTTAAAAAATCATTTATTTCGATGCAAATTAATTAAATTTATATTTACACGGATGTTGTTCTTGTAGCTCGCGCATGTAACAGAGCAAAGCAAAGCACATTAAGTCTTTTATACCAATCCACGTAATATTCAAAGATATTTGATGTCAGAACTTTAAGGCATTTGTAGTTGGTTGGGGAAACGGATAACATTGAATGGTCATTCAATGCCTTAAAAAACGCACCCATTAAAGGAAATCTTGAAAAATCTAATGTGTCTGTAAATCACGCAACATTCAAATCTCAAATCAGTGCATGTGACGAAGTTATTCACCTATATATAAATTATTAGAAGGAACAACACACAACTGAGCCATCAGGTTATTGAAATGGCTATCTCTCACTTTTCCGCACGTACAGAAGAATCCTCTTCATTTATTCATCATCTTATCTGTCATTTTCATCTTCCTCGCCCTCCAGCTTGTAGTGATTGTAACTAACTACAAAAACAACACATTCTAAACCTGAAGCATCATTTGTCATTCTCAGTTTCAAGCTCATCATCTAGTTTCCAAACAACATCCAAAGGCTGAGAGTTGAGCATTTGTGGGTGGCTGGTGATGTGTCGGATGCTGCCGGAACCAGAAGAAATGTCTTCAAAGTACTAGAAGAAATAAATATGTGCAATCGTTTATGTATGTATCATTTTGTCTACAAATTATTTCATAATCAAATAAACGCACTTTAAGTTTTGCAGTCACGCATATTAGACTTATCTTTAACGCATCGTATATTAACTAATAATTAAACGCATATTAGAGAAAGAAATTGTTAAATATTGCCTTTGTACGCATATTAAGCTTTAATGTCGCGCAAGTTAAATGTTAATCGACGCATGTAAAGACGTTGGCATTTACCACGGACCAAAGTTTCTATACATAAACCAACGCACATTCTGTTTCTGTATTACACATATTAAGGTTTAATGTAGCGCACATTAAAAGTGTAATCAACGCATATTAAGAATTAATTGCATGCAGGTAAAGTAGTAATAACACGCACATTAAGCTAGTAGCAGTGATTGTTAAACACAAATCAGTGATAAAAACAAAAACTAGTAATAACTGGACATTAAATTCAAGTATCTCAACTGTAAAAAGCGTTCTGAAATGAGTTAACTAAGTATTTGTGTTTCATATTTGCTATCTATTTTCGTTCTCAACTGTAAAGGCGTTGAAAAAATAGTCTGCTATGCCTTTTTCTTACCCTTTTGCTTGTCCTTATTTTTGGGGTTAAGTGGGCAAGTCCTGGTGTCATGGTGATCTCCTCTAACACCACAAAAATTGCACATCCTGCCCTCTTGTTTTTCCATTGCCAACTCCTCGCTGCTTTTGATACGCTTGCCGCTGCCCTTGTTCTTTGCATGTTTCGGTGGAAGTATGTTGATCTCTGAAATTTCTGTTGATCCACAATATGATTCTATAACAGTCCTCCTGCTGTGCTGAGGGGACAATTTCTCCTTTCCTGACAGTAGCAGCTATTTTTGTTCATTAATCACTTGGGAAAATGCAGTCAATTGCTCCATGTTTGAACCTGCCAGATCCATACAACAGTGTATATCAGACCGCACTTTGTTCAGCAACATCTTCTTTTCATCCTTTGGTCCATTCTGATCATAAATGACACCATCTATTTCAAATGTAGCTTTTAAAGATGCATCCTTAGTCCACCGATTAACCACGTACTTCAGAGGGATCTTTTCAAGGTCTCTAAAGACCACAAATATGTGTCTACACAACAGTCCAACCATCTCAAACATCTTGCAACTGCATTTGGTCTCATGGTCAGTTACATTGTGCACCACAGTAAATCTTTTGTTCTTTCCATCCATAATATCGTAGTGCAACATTCCACCGTCTTCTCTAACACTCAACACCATACATTTGAAACAGAAGGCACATATTTCTTCCTGAACTTGATAGAAAACAGTAATGGTGTAGACGATTGAAGCGTGCTTTTCAATCCCCAGAGGCGTCTTCATATCTGGATTGTAGCCTTCATTGTCACTGTTGAGCTTTGCATTTGTGTTACGTTGTGATTTAAGAGCACTGTCAAAGTTCATCATGAATTCAACTAGGCTTGATTGGGGACCAGTAAAACGGCTGTACGTGTAGTTCTCACTTTCGGAACGAGAAGTTGTCCTGAGTAGACCCCCCATAAAGCCATCTCTAAAATACGCTGGGATCCAATGCTTTCTAGCCTCAAACATAGTTGTAAACCAATTGTGCTCGACTAAGTTGTACTTTTCCATGAGCTCTCTCCACTGCTTCTCAAATTCAGGAGGTTCCAAAGATGACGTCCAAACGATTGAGTTCAGTTTGTTCCTGAATTCCTCATCCTTGTTCAGCGTAGGACCCACCTTTTCCCCAACTTTACACATGATGTGCCACATGCAATAACGATGCCTAGCTTGCTTGAAAACTGTTGGAATCGCCACTTTCATAGCTGGATCTTGATCAGTGACAATTATTCTTGGTTCTATACCCATTGCCTTTTTAAATTTTTCAAAGAGCCAAACATAAGACTCAATGTCTTCTTTCAACAGTAGTCCAGCACCGAATGTTATACATTTTTTATGGTTATCAACTCCGGTGAAGGGTGTAAAAACCAGATTGTACCTACAAGACAAAAAGCGTCATCACAGACTCACAGTATACAGGTGTCAAACTGCCGCACTTAGAGAATTAGAGTAACGCACATTAAGTATTAAAATAACACACATATGTAATTGAAGTCTAATTCTGGATATTCCGCATTAATATGCGAGACAGTAGTGTTTAAAATGCGTGGTATAAAACGAAAATGTGCGCTTATTTATATTTCAACTCTTTTTTCAATAAAACAGTGAACGTGTCTAAATCTTAACATGGCTCAACAGATCAGGCAATGCTAAATGTGGATTAATTAATGAAACGTACGCAAGAATGTGAATGGAATAATATATACCTGTTTTTTGAGTACGTGGCATCAAAAGAGACAACATCTCCAAATGCAGCAAAATTCTTTTTTGACATTGGATCTGCCCAAAACAGTATGCTCATCTGCTCATCTTCATCAACTTCGTAGTCAAAAGCAAATGCAGGGCACATCTCTTGTTTCTTAATAAGATTATGCACCAGTATTTGTGCATCAGCTCCCAATATGTATGCTCTGAGATCCCTTCTAACATTCTTAAAGTCAACTACAGTCGCCCCAACTTCAGAGTAATCCCCCACAATATGACTGTATAAACCGTGTGATTTTGATGCTCCAATATTTTCTTTAGCGCAATCGAGTATAAACTTCTGGTGAACACTGGAGATGTTTCTATTTCCCTTTAGAAACTGCCTTGCCAGAACCGAAGACATGCTGTGATTATGTTTTTCAATAAAAGTTGTAACTTGGTACCCAGCTGCTCCAATGTACTTAAATATAATCCTAGCGCTGCAGCCAGTTCTGTTTGAAACCCTTCGCCGCTTTGGACGGGAAGGACCTTCCCCTGCATCTGCACTTGACTGCGAGTGACAATGTTGAGCTCCTGTATTCTTAAATCCTTCTCTATTGCAAACGATTTGCTTTTGAGTTTTTGTCCCGTCACGTGCTATAACGACGGAACTAGACCTCGTGTCAAACCTGACTTTGGCAGTATAATGATTGTAGAATTCAATACCAACATCCAATGTTTTAAAAATCATGTCTACTGCTGGTTTGATTTCATCTTCATAGTGAGGAGTCCAATACTGTGTCATTCCAGGAGATATGGTCAATGTATGACCATTGCTGCTGCTGCTGGGACTCAAACTGGGGTTGTTGGTAGATTGAAAGTCACTGGGAACTGTAACGTATAAGCATGAAGTTATGATTGTGTTGTTGCAAGCCTCTACGTGCGTAATGTGAACACTTAATATGCGTTAAGTTAATCAGATCATTGTCACTATGACAGATTTATAAAATACAAGAGTATGTGCGGCAAGTGAGAAATTAACGTGCTTCAGGGTAATAGTTAACGTGCGCATGTTGAACAGTTAACATGCGTGAGTGTTTGTTAAAATATTATGTCATTACTTAACGTGCGTCAGAGAGTCCAGTAACATAACATGCATCTAGAAAGGAATTAATGTGCGTGTGCTCAACGGATAACATGTGTGAGGCAAACAGTAACATGTGCATTTTTAAAAATTATCATGCGGCTACCTAATCATCTACGTGCGTAAGGCTCTAGGCTCGGATTAATTAAAGTAGCTCAGTAATTCGGTGGTTAAGTTGCATGCATGTAGTGCTTAATGTGCGTGTAATTAAGACAAGAATGATGTCAATACAAGTGCAGATAAAATTAATTCCAGAAAAGCGATAGAATTTGGGTAATACCTCGATCGAATTCTTCCAT